AGGCATTTAGATCTCAATGCCTTCATTCCAGTTTCTTTGTTTGCTTATTAAAAAAACCAATTATTTGATGCTAAATTAGTTTATTATTTGATGCAAAACTAGTTTTAGGCTTTATTTATTTATTTATTCATTTATTTTTAAGTGCTGCTACCTTTGCTGAGGGTTTTAGTTTAATGAATTTACATTCCTTGGGTTTTAATAACTGGTAAATACTTAAAAGATACTGAAGGGAAGAGAAGTAGTATACAATTTTGCAATGCAGCCGAGTGATTCAGACAAATAAAGCACGAAAGAGCATAAAATAAAACTTGACACTACAGGAATCAACACAGGAGTATATAATAAATTTAGCACTTCATTCAAGATATACAAGAGTATATAATAAATTTAGCACCTCATTCAAGATAAAAAACTACTGTTAAAAGAAGTGTCTCTTGACGGGAAGGGTACCGAAATCATGGAAGAATGCCAACACACCTTGATCTATAAGAAAGGAGATGTCAAAGACTTAAAAAATTACAGGCCTATCAGCTTACTATTCGTTCTCTACAAACTATTTACAAAAATAATAGCTAATAGAATTAGGGCAATATTAGAGTTGAATCAACCAAAGGACCAAGCAGAATTTTGTACAGGTTACTCCACAATAGACCATATTCACGCTATCAATCAGGTTTTATAAAAATGTTAAGAATACACCCAACCAGTATACATAGCCTTCATAGATTATGAGAAGGCGTTTGACCCAGTAAAGACATCAGAAGTGATGACTATGGAATCAGGGCACCGATGAACCCCGCATAAACATACCGGAAGAAGTCTACAGCGGGTCTGTCCACAGCCACCATAGTTCTCCATAAAGAAAGTGAGGGAATTCCATTATAGAAGGGAGTCAGGCAGGGAGACACACTCTCTTCAATGCTATTCACTGCATGTTTACAGGAGGATTTCGGGGCTCTGAATTGGGGAGAATGAGGAGTAAGAGTTAATGAAGAGTATCTTAGTAACCTGTGATTCGCTGATGACATTGACTTGGTGACTAACTCAGGAGATGAAAACAGCTAATCATTACTGAAATAGACATGGAAAGTAGAAGAGTAGGTCTGAAAATTAATATGCATAAAACAAAAGCTAATCATTACTGAAATAGACATGGAAAGTAGAAGAGTAGGTCTGAAAATTAATATGCATAAAACTAAAGCAATGTGCAACAGTCTCGGCAGAAAACAGCGCTTTGCGATAGGTGGAGAGACTGAAACTTGTAAAGAAATGTGTCTACTTAGTACAGGTAGCACCCACGAGGCCGAATCATGAGGGAGAAATAACTAAAAAAATAAGGACAGGGTGGATCACATTCGGCAAGCATTCTCAAATTACGAACAGCAATCTACCACTAACCCAAAAAAGGAAGGTATATCACAGATGCATCTTGCTGGTACTTACCTACGGAGCAGAAACCTGGAGGCTTACAAAGAGAATTCAGAATAAATTGAGGGCAGTGCAGCGAGCAATGGAAAGAAAAATAAGTGTAACCTTAAGAGACAAGACAAGAGTAGAGTGGTTCAGGGAACAAAGCGCGGTTAAGGATATCGTACCGTAAAAACTGGAATATAGGTAAAATTTTTTTTTTCAAAAAACGCAATGCAAAGTCGACCCGTGTCTTATATACCGGACAGTGGCAGAAAAAATGTGAGTCTCGCTACATTGGGCAGCTGAAGTTGAAAGCCTCCATTGCCATTCTCTAACTGCCATCGTGAGCATCCGCAGCAGTGCCATTGGGCAAGGCTAGGCATAGAGTTTTTTATATATCCACTAGAGGGAACTCTGGCGCTAGTGTCTACGAGAGCTGCAACGCATGGCGCTTCAGCGTGCATGGGAATGATGGGTAGTACATGGATTTGTCTAATCTTCATACTTCTGACTCCAAGTGTGTTCGTGTGGCTTGGAGCAGTTCTGTCACGAACAAAATCAGCGAATGTTCAGTGGTTGCGCTTTGCTATCTTAATCTTTTGGACTTATAATTTCAAATCGTGTCATACAGTTCAAAAGGGTTCAATCTTTTCTTCGAAACAAAACTGAAACACAGCAATAAACAAAGCCACAGGTGCTACTGGCAGCCCACAAGTACAAAGACTAGGAAAATCCATGTACTACCTATTCCCATGGTCGCTGAACCATTGCCGCACTAGAGTTCTAAAATTAACTAGAGCCCTAAATTAACACTAGAATTAACTAGAGTCCCCTCTAGTTAATTTTAGGAAATGCTATGAGGCTAGGCAATGCCTCAACCATGGAGGAAGGAAACAACTGTTTGCTCTGCGCAAGGCCTATAGTGTTCTAGCATTGCCATTTTGCCACGGTGCTCTGCTGTCAGTCTGCTGTTTTCTTTTTCTTTTTTTTATTCTCTTCAGAAATGAGTTGTAGTTGGCAGCAGTTTATGATAGGCTTTAAGAAAAAAAGTTATCGGACATGTCGAATAGCACGGCAACCTGACGGCACAACAAGAATTTGGTGCATCGAAGAAAAGCATCTGATACTGGAGGAGTCAAAAGCAATGCATCACATCCTGAAGCAACTAAACAACAAAAAAGAAACATCAACATCGTTTCGTGGACGGACTGCAGTGCACATCCAACTGAAAATGCTACTCGCCGAATTCATCCGGGAGCTGCGTGCAAGGTCACTACTTGTAAAAGTGAAGTGCATTCACATGAAAGCTCTCGAGATAGCGCGAGACTCTGGGCTCTCGATTGAGGGTGCAATTCAAGGAATTGCTATCAAGGGTGTGCCGATTTATGAAGCGGAAGGGCTTTGCGCTGAGGCGGCATACTTCTGTCTTTCTGCAAATGCTGCACCAGTAACGCATTGGATCGAATGAAAGACGATGCACTCTGGGACGTTACTAGTGAAAAAAAAATTTGAGATCTTGAAGCGTCGCCTTTAGGAGTTGAGCGCGATAGCGACATCCTGTTCCTAGTGCTTGCTTTACTTAGTGCATAAGAAATCTTTTTGAATTTGCTATGCACCCACTACGTGGCCTCAAAGGGGCAGAAACTGTTTTTCAAGTAACCATGGAATGAATTCAGTAGAAAAGCTTATTGCCGCACGAATTCAACGCCGCAAAGATTTTAAAAATCCGTCCAGTGCGAGTGGAGTTGCAAAGATTTGTTGCATGCTGCAATTGCATTCTCTCTTTTCTCATCCCGGCGAATTCGCTGAAAGCTAAGCTGGGAGAGATGGCAGGGGCAAAGACGATTCGTCACGCATGCCCCATGACCTTGAGCACTTTTTTCTTCTTTTTTTTTTTCTTATGTATGCACGGCTTTTTCAGTGTGATCACGCGCGCACATGTAGACAAGTCACGGCCTCCCGCGGGGATCTTTGTAACGACCAAGCGCGCCATGTTATTCAGCCAATGGCTGTTAGATGAGCTTTTTACAAGTGATTTTTAAGCGTCTTCCATCCTTTGTCGAGAGAATAGAAAGCAATTTTTAGCTGACCTTGATAATTTATTTTGAATTCCAGGCTGCATGCTGCGCTATAATATTTGGCTTGCATGTTGTCGGGAGCCTCTGCTACCGATCGTCAGCGTTTTCTGACCATGCTCAAAAAGGGTTGCAGGGCCCCTTTAAGGAAATATACGTAGTAGCATGTGTGCCTTTTGTTGTGCAGTACCGGCTTTCAAGCACGGAGCCATTATGATAATCACATATTCTGATGTCCACTGGCAATGGACGCTTATACCACAAAAAATATTACTGCCATAATAATGTGATAGCATTAAAGAGCTTGTTTTGCGGAAATTCCGGCGTCTGCGTCAGTGTCGGCGTCGGTGTCGACATGGTTGGTTGTGAGCGGAAAATCATCCTCCTATGCATGACTGAAAAATTAAGAACGATGCAAATAAAATTAATAAATGATGAAGAAACCCTGTAGAAGAGTTCTAAATTTTTTAGTCGCACATTAGATGATGATTTTTCACTCACAACCAACGACGTCGATGCTAGAATTTTTGCAAAACGAGCTCTTTAACGCTATCGCATTAACAGACATCGTCGAACTGAAGTTAGGACAAGTCTGAGTGACTGCACTTTGTGGTGTTCTGGTGTTTAACTACATAAAGTAAATGTCCGAACAAAAACTGTCATGTGTATTTACCAAGGTAAGTGGTGCGATACTTTACGATTTTTAAAAGTTTTTTTTTTTTCGGGGAGTCAAAGTTTAGAGTGTCGATTTATATTCCGGTGTTTTACGATAGTTGAAATCAAGAAGCAGAAATAGACATATGCTGGGCATGGAGTGGGAAGACAGGATATCCGTTGGCCATCAAAAGTAACTGACTGAACTCCCAGAGAAGGCAAACGCACGAGACAGAAAGTTAGGTGAGCCGATGACATTAAAAAGTTTGCTGGTATAATAAACGTGGCAGCAGAAGGCACAAGACCAGTTTATTTGGGGGATTATGAGAGAGTCCTTTGCTTTGCAGAGGGGGTAGTCAGGCTGATGATAATGGAAATGGTGGGAAAAGAGCTTTAGGGATAATAGCGAAATAACTATATTGGTAAGCTAGTTTCATTCAGTAGTTGTCCTAGAAAAAAGAATACTCAAATTTGTTATGAATGGCGAAGGGGCTTGTTGTCAAGTTGTCTCTGCTTTGTGGCATATTAAGAATGTGCAAAATGCCTAACTGATAGACTTTTATCAGCTATAAAACAAAAGTTTCAGTATCTGACCTTGATTTCTTTGTGTTATAGTGTTCAAACCACGCTCATGGTCCACCTTAGGTAATGATAGTGAAACAGGGCGTAAGGAAGGCGCATTATCTATGTGTGCCTTCCGAGAGTCCTTCTGCACAGGTATATTAATTGAGATTACAGTTGGGTTATCTGTGTAGAAGTGGTAGATCTGCTATTAATTGTCAAACTACAATGCACTGTATTAAACATGAAGAGTTCATTATTGGCAAGTGTCACAAGAGACGCTTTATCCTATTTTTACAGATATTTATTATTTCATCTTTGTGCCAACCCTTTGCTATGAGCTCAACTTTCCAAGGTCATCAAGAATAAGAAAGCGCTTCCTGTTTCGCCGGTTTCTGGAATCTGTGAGTTCATTTTCTTAACTTTCTTTCAACTATTTCGAATAAAAAAAATGTGACATCCTAAATGTTCGCAAGATAGGCAGAAAGGACCATGTAAATAAATATCTGCATAAAGCCTGCTCTGTAGCTTTCTTTGTATAGTATTGTATTACACTAATTGCTGATGTGAAGTGCATTTTCGAGTCATTAATGACTTCAGTTAACATCATGAGTATGCGGAAAGCATTGAACTCACCTTAAGATGTTCTTTGAGCATGCTGAAACATTTTTTAATGGCCTGAAAATTGCTGTATAACCATCTCGCGCATCGGCAACCCTGTTTTTTTTTACATTCTACTTTGGTTAACATTATTGTTGTGTTGTGTCTTGGTGGCCTCGACACCAGTGAAAAGTGTAATAACCAGGTAGTCCAGGGCCATGCCGGTCGCCGGACCGAATCACACTTCACACTGACTGACTCATCAAATGCACCGTATTTATTTCATTGCAACATCGACGCCCCCGGGCGCTAATCTAATCTTATCACAGAGGAAATTGTAGAAAGCCACAATTATCGCAGGAAATTGTGGAAAGCCCCCACACGACGGGGTGCAGAGCTCCAAAGGGAACGTCTGCCTTGCCCAAGTGCTCATCACCAACTCTTTATTTACACATGTATACACATCATGATACACATGGCTGTCGTGCGAGGCACCTCATGACAACACAAACCGAAACTAACAGAACACGAACACCACTACATCCCCCCCCCCCCCCCCCCCAGAAAGAAAAAAAAAAAGAGCTCTAACATCCTTACACATTTGTTAAAGCAGAACGCCAATTGGTACTTAGTAACTTGTGCAACCTTATACAAACAAAAGACAATATGAAAAGTCATAGCATATCAGTGTACCAAGCTATAGAATTTGAATGTTGTACAATAGATAAATACAGAGCATACACAGAACAAGGCACAAGTAGTACACTGAGTTCAACATGCGAGTAAAGAAAAAAAGAATTTAAGACAGAAAGTCCTTAGACTGGACGGCTTTTTTACGCGACCGTTTATAGCGCCGAAGCACACTGCACTCTGAAATGCTCTGTAAGTTCTGTTTGCGAAGTTCTATGCTCTCAGCTGTGCCTGAAAGGCACCTAAGCGAGCCGGTAGGCTCGCTTAGGTGCCTTTCAGGCACAGCTGAGAGCATAGAGGAATAACTTGAGTCTGACAACTCACTTGCAATAGCTGTGTTAGTTGCAGCTTGGATTTCCGGAGCCTAATTTTGTTTGACGGACTGAACCTCTGATGAAGACTCAATGTGCACTGTTTCACTTGGAGCTACACCTACTGAAAGGTCCTCCTCCCTTGAGAAAGAAGTATCTGAGTAGGGAGGCCACATACAATGATATTCTTGTGAGTAATTCGAAAAAGTGGGAGAGTGATAGGCAGAAGTTTGAGGCATTGAAGCCGAATCCGTGTGATAAATAACTTTCTGCGAGGTGTTCCAAATGTTGCCATCACTTAGGCAAAAAAAAGTGGGACTAACTTGTTCTAAGACTTTGTACTGATTCCGATACTTGGGATGTTTTTCTGGGACACGAATCTTAACTGTCTTGTCGACTCGAACTTTGGAAGGTTTAGCTTCTCGACGATAGCCCACATACTGCTTCATTGCTTGTTGACGAGAAAAGACTTTGGTACGAAGTTGCTGACTCAGAGGAACTGAGGTGTTATGATGTTTGGAAACTTGAGGGCAACTTGAGGTTGCCTGCCATGAAGAAGTTGCACAGGCGACACTCCTGTGGTGCCCTGTGCTGAAAACCTGTATAAAGCCAAGTATTCAGTCAGGACTTGCTTGAGGAGGTGTTGTTCTTATTGTGTAATCTGAATGTGTTCCTTCAGAAAGTAATTGAATCGCTCAATTTGTTTATATGATCACGGGTAGAAGACAGATGAATTGAAAGGCTGAATGCGACTTTGCGAAACAAAAGTCTCGAACTAGAGAGACTGAAATGGTGGACCATTGTTCGTGGCTATTGCATCAGGAAAACCTTCTCAGCTGAAAATGAAAGACAAAAACTCGACGTTAATTCAGAAGTTATGCATATAACATACTTCAGACGTAACATACTTCAGACGAAGAAGTTGCACAGGCGACACTCCTGTGGTGCCCTGTACTGAAAACCTGTATAAAGCCAAGTACTCAGTCAGGACTTGCTTGAGGAGGTGCTGTTTTTATTGTGTAATCTGAATGTGTTCCTTCAGAAAGTAATTGAATCGCTCAATTTGTTTATATGATCACGGGTAGAAGACAGATGAATTGAAAGGCTGAATGCGACTTTGCGAAACAAAAGTCTCGAACTAGAGAGACTGAAACGGTGGACCATTGTTCGTGGCTATTGCATCAGGAAAACCTTCTCAGCTGAAAATGAAAGACAAAAACTCGACGGTAATTCAGAAGTTATTCATATAACATACTTCAGACTACTTGGAGTGATAGTCAGTGAGAAAAATAATGTACCGAGCATTTTGTGGAACATTGTGCAAAGGACCAAAGATGTTCATACTGAGCTTTTGCCAAGGCCGATCAGGCCAGGGAACAGGCTGCAATGGAGTGAATGGAGCCTCGGCAGGCTTATCTGCCGCCCGACTATGTGGTAGTTGTACACAGCATGTTTAACCTGTTTGTCTAAGGCGGGTCACCAGTACCTGTCACGAAGGTTCTGTTTAGTGTGAACATGCCAGGATGCGACTTGTGGGCAAGCTGAATAAGCTTGTGCTGGAAAGAAGTTGGGGAATCGCCCGTTCATCACCGAAAAGCAAGTTCTCGACACAAGACAGCCTGAAGCTAAGCTTTGGTAATACAAGAAGCAAGAAAATAATTTCATCACGCTCTTCAGTAACTGGTAACTGCAGAAGGAGACGTGACAAAGCATCTGCAGGACGCGGTGCATTCACAATATCCTGAACTTTTGTCTCAACAGGAGTTAAGCCGCGGGAACTGATCTTGTGGCCTAAAAATTGCAATTCACTGACAGCAAAAATACACTTGTTCGTAGTTTCATACCGCATTCGCTGATGCGAGAAAGAACAAAATGTAAATTTGCATCGTGTCCTTCTGAACTTTGGCCCCATACCAATATACCGCCTAAGTAGCACAGTGCACCTTGGCAACCTTTAAGTATTATAGACATGATTTTCTTAAACACAGCAGGGGCAGACGCGAGCCCCAATTACGCACAAGCGATGAAAACGAAACAGCTAATCGTGCAAAACAAGTGTGGTGAAGTCTCTACTGCATTCAAAAAGTTCAACTTGATGATAAGCGGACGCAAGGTCTAACTTAGAAAAGCATACTGCCTTGTACAGCTCTTGAAGAAGCTCTTCGATGTGTGGGAGCGGGAACCCGTCGATGATGATTGCATTGTTTGGTTAATGTAAGTCCACGCACAGGCAGAGGGAACCATCCTTTTTTTTTACAATGACACCCAGTCGGAAGCGGAGACAGGCTCGATGATTCCGCTGGCTTAAAGACAGGACAGTTCTTTAGAAACTTGATGCACAAAGCCGCGCACACAACTCAGTTCATGGATGAACAGTTGACGGAATTCAACGGTCACATTGGCAGGAAGATCAAATTGCACGCCGACTAGGGTACAAGTCATGGATTCACCAAAATGTTTATGGATAATGCACATACAGTACTACGACCCAGGAGAGAGTCGCCATTTGCAATGACATAGAAAGTGACAGACGCAGTACGACTCCAATACCTGACTGGTGCTGGGAATGATCCGAAAATGTCAATTGTTTCTTTAGAATAAGGCTGCAGAACAATGTGCAAAGGAGAAAGTCTAATGCCTCGAAAATGTCTATAAAAGCCAGCGGTGCCAATTAACGAGACGGTTGCATTAGTGTCCACCGGAAAGTCGGGGTAACATTGCCTACTGTTGCTAAAATGGAAGGCGCAGACGTTCTTTGGCAACTGGCCACATTTAAAACAGCGACTGTACTTCCTTGGCCGCTACTCGAAGTAGGCAAAGAGAATGCATCTTAAAGGGGAGCAGAATTTAATATGGCCTGATAATGGTCGTGTTTACCACACGCAAGACAAGTGCAGTTCTGTGCAGGACATTATGCAAAATTTGCTGAGTGGGAACTGTCCAGAAACTCGTTCGAAAAAGCTCAGAGCTCACCGCTGGCCTTGGAAAGGCGACTTTGAACACGTCGACGCACCATTTTGGCGGTTTCCTCACCTCTGTGAAGCGGAAGGGTGACCATGTTGCGGGCCGCTGAAGGACTGTGAAGACGGACGGCCATGTTAGCGGCTGCATTCATTAAAGCTGGAATGAAGGAGAGCCATCTTGGCCTTCCCGCCAAGATGAAGAAGAAGGACCGTCATGTTAGTGTGACCCCCCGTGAAACGAATGTGCACCATGACGCCCTGCAATGGAAAGTTGCTGCGCCGAACGTGGAGTGAAGTGCTCTAACTGCACGCATGCAAATTTATTATCTTGTGCAATCGAGAGAGCTTCTGAGAGGGTAACGGGAGAGCCTTTTTAAAGAAGTCAACAATGAACATTTTTCGATCAGAACAAAAATGGACACCTAGATACTTGTAACCAAATATAAGTATCTGTCAAACTACTCGCTTATTAGACACTTATCAGACCAGAACTTGAGTACGCATGCGCTGTTTGGACCCTCATCAGAGTAACAATACTAAAACACTTGAAACAGTGCAAAGCCGGGCGGCAAGATTCATCTTTTCAGATTATTCATATCAGTCAAGCGTAACTGAACTTAAATCTCGTGCTAATATCGCCACCCTTTCATCACGTTGCTGTGTTGCTCGTCTGTGCCTGTTTTTCAAGTTCTATCATGGATCACCTCGTACTCCCATCATCAAGCCAGCCCATCGTCATTCAGACCACATAAATCACGGGAAAGTTGTTCACCCACCAAGTGCTCGCACCACTACGCACCTTTCATTCCTTTTTTGTCAAGACCGCACAAGATTGGAATGGCCTTCCTCCTCACGTTGTGCACCACTCCAGTATCATCAACTTCAAAGCAGCGATTGAACTTTTACCCCTTTAATCCATTGTAATAGTCCACCCCCTCATGTAAAACCCCATCATTGGGGCCTTTGAGGTATTGTAAAATAATAAATAAATAAATATAAATAAATAAACAGTTAATGTCTGATCATGTCATTTTCAAGGGCGCCGAAACCGCAAGGCATGGCTAGTGACCAAAGACTAGTGATGAAGTTTTCAGAAAGCTCGCCGGGGAGCTGATGGCACTCTTGAAAGCGGAGACGCGCGACCCAATCACAGGTCACGTCTTTGAAATGTTCGGCGAATAAGGTGATGGCAGCTTTAAAAAAGTTAGACGGCACTGGCGTCTCCAACGCGTTGGCGGAGCTAAGCGTCTGCTAGAGTTTCAGCTTGGCGTCACCCGATTCGTTAAGGAAGAGGGCTTTACACCGCTCTGGCTTGCTGATATCCTCCCAGACAACATCCACATAAGCTTCAAAAATTAACTTCCAGTCAGCCCAAGGAATCGGCGTATCCCCGGGCATGGAGAGAAAAACAAGGGGAGGAATGGGAGATGCCATCGACGCAGAAAACTGGACACAACTAATAAATATAAGAACAAAGAGAAACACAAAACGCCAACGCACAAGAATGTCTGCAGAGTCGAAGGCAGGAATGATGCGACGCGGCCTCTAGGGAGAACAAAGACCAGCATAGGCGCGAAACGCCGAAGTAGCATCACAACAGAAACGCAACATTGAGGCTGACAGAAGGACGTAATACGAAGGCACAGGGTTCTTATTTAATCTCGTCCCCATTGTTGTGTTGTGTCTTGGCTGCCCCGACTCCGACAAAGGGGAGCAAAAAATGTTGAACCAAAGCTCATCAATGCTGCGGGCGGGAAACGCCAGAAAGCCACCACACAATGGGGCACAGAGCCCCGAAGGAAACGTGTGCCTCGCCCGAGTGCTTGTCACCAACACATACATACACACTATGAGACACATCACTGCCGCACGGGGTGCCACATGACAATCCAAACTAAAACTAACAGAACACAAACACTGCACTTATTTTGCATGCATTTAATTTGCAGCACACGTGACACGGGGCATAACACATACACATGGTTTGTCCATGAGATACAGCAAAAGGAGGGCTTAAACCTCCTAACTAAGCCTTATCTCACTGGGACAGCAGAAACAGCAAGTTTCAGTAAAAAATTAACAACATAATCAGTCAACAAGATCATAACCCCTAACGCTTTAGCTATAGTAATACTTCAAAACAGTAACACTTAAATATCATTAATGCAGCAATGAGACATCCTTATTGTTAAAGTTACACTTAAACTAAAATTTGTACAACACAATCAAGAAAGAAACAAGTTCATTATTGAATGTTTAAATTCAATGAGTTGTTCTGAGTTACTAAAGGTTGAATTTGCTCTTAATGTAAAATTTCTGGCCAACTTCGTGGATTTTAAAGGGGCCCTAAAACGCTTTTTCAAGTAACCACGGAATGAATTCACTGGAAAAGGTTATTGCCTCACGAATTCAACGCCTCAAAAATATTAAGAATCCCTCCAATGCGAGTGGAGTTGCAAAAATTTGTTGCATGCTGTAATTACATTCTCTCTTCTCTCGTCCTGACAAATGTGCTGGAAGCTAAGCAGAAAGGGATGGCAGGGTCGAAGAAGATACGTCACACACGTCTCATGACCTTGAGCACTTTTTTCTTTCTTTTTTTTTTTCTTCGTATGCACGGCTTTTTCAGTGTGATCGTGCTCGCACGTCTGGACAAGTCACGGCCTCCCGCGGAAATCTTTGTAACGACCGATCACGCCATGTTCAAATCAGCCGATGGCTGTTAGATGCACTGTCTACGAGTGATCTTTAAGCGTCTTTCGTCATTTGTCGAGAGAAGAGAAAGTAATTTTTAGCTGATCTTGATAATTTATTGTGAATTCCAGGCCACATGCTGTGCTATAATAATTAGCTCGTATGTTGTCGGGAGCCTCTGCTACCGTTCGTCAGTGTTTTCTGACCATGCTCAAAAAGTGTTGCAGGGCCCTTTTAATGCATTATTTGTAATACAACTAGTCATCTTATTGCTTTTTTTAACAAGGTGACAATAAATATAAACTAAATATGGTGGCTTGAGAAAGCGTTACAGAAGCCCCTTTTATCTTTCAACAGATTAGTCAGTTTCCCATGGATAGAGGAGGTTCTTGCAAGTTTTTATCTTGAGAAATGCATTCAAGATTTGATTACAAATGATAACAGATCATGGGCATTTCGTGTCACATTTTAAAACTATACCCATGCGTTTCACACATAAAATGCTTCACTGTAAAATCACTCTTCTCATCAAGAGGCTAATGAAACAAAAACTGACTGTGTCAAGCGATACCATTTTCCATATAGCTGCAGCATGGCCGTCGGCAGGGTGATGTGCAAAAAGACACTTGCCCCCCACCACCCTCTCCTTAGCCACATAAGTGCTCCTCAGATCCCTCAGCATGGTTCAACATGACTCTGTACTCCTTAAGTTCAATTCCTGCTGACATGCATGGCCTGAAAGCACTAGATATCTCAACACATACGAGTCAGTACAGTCATCATTTTACTGAGAAGAAATATGGTTTCACGAATATAACTTGAAAACGTTGCGATAATTGAATTCTTACAACTTATGGAAGGTAGGGGACACACGTTTTTGTACATATCTTATTAAAGTGTCTCAAATCTTAGGTCAGCACATGCTGGCACTGGCTTATTCACAGATTTCTACTCAACAGATATATGGCTTTATCACTTCAAAAAAATTCGATCATTTTCATTAGAATCAGCACCATAAAATACTGTTATTTTACCTAGCAGTTTCACTGAACATGATATTGTACAAGCAAGCAGGATGTCATTGTGAATAATGCCTCAATAATCACTTATGTAATATATAGTTTGAATTCACTTTATTTCTACTATCTTCTTTTTCAAGTTATTGCTGTTGCAGCTCATCTTGGCCTTGGCCCAGCAATGGATAGTACCCATTATGGAAAACTCTCTGAAGCCTTTTCAGGTAATTAAATTGTCTTGACTTAAAAAAATTAAACTGCATGAGAATTTTAAGGCTTATCTTCTGGTATCCTTTGAACACAAGGTTAAATACCGACTGGCAGATAATGAAATATTTGCCAAGTGCCCCTTGACAAAGTTGAGTTCTTTGTCAGTTGTTGACAAAGTTGAGTTGACAAAGTTGAGTAGAATGCCTCTGTGTGCGACTGAGCTATGGACGTTATAATTTGTGGCCTTGTGAAGTGCAACTAGTGATGTCCCACTGTTAGTATGAACATCGACGTCAAGTAAAAGTAATCTTTCACAGTGAACACAGCTGAGTTGCGTCCTTATGCGTCTGCAAGCTTATGACTGTGAGTGTGACAAAGGCAGGAAATTAGCTGTATGTCGACTAGAAAATCTGTCCATGGACCGAAAACTTGAAAATATCAGCTTTTCGGCCAGCTGGAGCTACTTTGTGTGGACAGAGCTTGACTAGGTAATGACCCCAGATACGTGCACACGGGATTGCAGTGTGTGTAGAAGCGCATGAACTTTCAGGAGAATAAATTTTCCATTGTAAGAAGACATCCATCTCGCTCTCTACTTTTCTAATCATCAACGTAGGGGAACGAAGTTTATATTATTTACTCATGAATATTTGGTCCATGCTTAATTCGAGTAAAGGCGTTCTTTTTTTCTTTTGGACGAAATCTGAATGTCGTCGTATGATGCGGGGTTGGCATAAAACTGCATCGTATAACCAAGGTAATTAATACATTATTTCTATGGAGATTTTGCCAGGACCTAACCGATTCGTCGTAAAATGCAGGTTGTCGTGAAACCAGGGGACTTATAATCGAAGTTACACTGTACTACTGTATGCCTTCACATTTGTGGGCAGTGCATGGCTCACAGTCTCCTGCAGTGTAGTTCTAAATCAAAGCTTCTTCATACCTACTGGGATTTATACTAAGTTTTCAAGTTTCTTGTCAAATAGACCATTTACAGAGCACTGAATTTAAACCAACAAAATAGCACCAGTGAACATGCCTCTCTTCTGCATGGTGAAACAATTATTTATAAAATAAATCCTAATAATATAAGTTACTAATTAACTCAAAGCACGTGGACATTCCAGCACAGCAAATACATGATACTCAAGGAATGCTTTGATTAACATTATTTTTACTTCACTCGGTCATTTTGTTTAGCAATTCAATGTAAGGCACTAAATATGCAGATGTGTTCATGGCCATTCCTTGCGAGTGGGCATGTGCCCCTGTGATACAAGGGACATATGAAACTGAGATGTGGGCACATAATTTATTTGTACCTTCCTTTACACGCACCTTTTATTGTGAATGTTGGAACTCTGGTATTGGGAGCATTCCACTGCTGCCACCATTTGTTGTGCCTCGTGGTTGCAACATCCCCACGGTCATATCAGTAATTGAAACCTCCGTCTGGTGAGGCGCGACATAGGTAGCTGGCCCACCTCGTCAGACCCATCATGCAACTTTGCAGAGATAAGAGGCACTTCAACAAAACGACAGAAATTTATTTACATAGTAAAAAGTTTAGAGGCTGACAAGAAACGAGCAAGTGATCAAGTGAACTGCTCGGCTCTGAACTGAAGTGTTCTGCTGAAAACTACAATATCTCTTTGGCTTTTATAGTCGCAACACAACACCCATGCTGCCATCCCTGGGCGCATTGTCTACTACTTCAGCCAATACGGCGGTCTCGACACTCCGCCTACGAAGGAAGAGAAAGACGCCACACAACACAAGTGTAGAGGGCACAGTTTAAGACAATGCCCAAGTAAACACATGGCACCAAGAATTTGCTCATGGTACTAAGATTCCATACTTGGCTGAGGGACTAGACGTGGCATCATCCCAAGAACTCTCCCAGCAAAGGGGTGGAAGCTCGAAAAGAAAGGTAGGGGGGAGGTCATCAAACTGAGGGATGTACCAGTCCCCAGAGTGCCTGTAAATTCCTATGGCACTGCTTGAAAATGCAGCTACGACCTTCTCAAAAAAGCAAAGGCAACTGGCAATTACCACAGTGGGCCTCGTGTTAAACTTCGTGTCTTGCTTGGCACCAGGCCTCTTCGGCCCTGATTGTCTTTTTGGTTCTTGATGCAGAACCTGTCCAATGACACCGTTGTTTGCGCTGGGCTACAAGTTTATTCAGTTGTTCTCTGGTTCATGTCCTTCAGGGAATGTGTTAGTGACTTGCTCCAGGGCCCGCAGGTGCTGAAAAAAGTCCGCTGCTGGTCATGGTCATAACACCATTCTTTGTATTAGATGCATCATACAAATCCTTTGTCCTTGGTTCACAAACAGCTAACTATAGGCAACAATACAATGCACATACCATTGATTACTGCTGCTGCCTAACTCAGAGGTTGCCCCGCCGTGGTGGTCTAGTGGCTAAGGTACTCGTATGCTGACCCGCAGGTCGCGGGATCGAATCCCGGCTGTGGTGGCTGCATGTCCGATGGAGGCGGAAATGTTTTAGGCCCGTGTGTTCAGATTTGGGTGCCCCTAAAAGAACCCCAGGTGGTTGAAATTTCTGGAGCCCTCCACTACGGCATCTCTCATAATTATATGGTGGTTTTGGGATGTTAAACCCCACATATCTATCAACCAATTAACTCGAAAGAGGTTTTGTGTCATTTAGATTTTAAGATTGCATTCAAAAAGAAGAAATAAAGTGTGCTAAGAAGAGGCGGCAGGCAGTTTGGTTATGGTGGCCTCAGGAGGTGGCTTCTCTTGATTCTGGTGGCATTTTTGGCCTGCCTAACCACCCATAGCTGGTCATTCAGCTCCAAGCTTTTGTGGAACTCCTCCCAGCTTCACTAATGGTGGCGAAGAAAGCTCCCTGGAGGCCTTCACAGCTGAGGTGGCATTGGGAATGACTGAGCTCAAAGCTGCATGTGAGTTGCTATTTTCCACCATTGGTGGGTGCACTGTCACTTGGTCATTTCGTTCAGCAATTCAATGTAAGTCAGCTGGATATGCAGATGCGTTCATAGCCATTCCGTCCAAAGCAGGCTTGCTGGCAGTTTCAGGACTATTGTTGCCAGCACATTCCCGAGCATGTGGCTCAGTTTTGCTCTGTGCCGACATGCTCTACATATACCGGTGGGGCAAAAGTTTGGGTAGCAGTGGTGTAAGATGACTAGGCTAGGGTGCGAGTATTGCTGCTGTTCAATTATCATGCAGTGGTGCGAATTCACCTTACTTACTCACATAATCTTCACAGTTTTTTAACAGAAAATTGATGAAAAGTTGGGGGCGGGGGGAGTGCAAGAATTACGCGAAGAAAATTTTTTGCAAAAACAAAGAAAAACGAAGTGGTCGCAAATTGGTATTCTCACACTAGCAACCAACTCAACCTTTAAAAAGTACTAATCAAGAATACCTCAACAATAAAGCAACAGGTTCAACACAAGGCAAGGTTTATTTGAGACACAAAAGCTGCAAGCAAATAGTGGGGAGAGCGTTTTCGAATACCATACGCAAAGTTTGCTGGCATTGTGGGTGTTGTGGGTGCAGTGTTAGCACTCATCACTCAATAGAAGCCCACAAAAAGTTTGCGTACGATGTCAACCTTGGGCTGATGGCCATCTAACACGGAATTGTACGCAGTTACCTTCTGACAAAAGGAAGTTTAGCATTCATCCCAGACACATAGAAATACCAGCGCATCTTGGTGGCTTTCACTTGCCCGTTCTGCTGTCGCCAGCAGCGAACACAAAACTTGTTGCCTCCAACATGCCTACCAGTGGCCCTGTTGCCGTTGTTTAGTGTACGATCAATCACTTTAGCTTTCGTATTGCCCCACAGTGTAACCACAGTACGGACACAATGTCCACTAACACACCACAACGTGCACTTTCGCTTGGCTTGTATGGAATGGGCCTTTTCCTAGTCCAAACATCACCTATAATGGAATACGCCAAAACCAAAACTCGTGGCTCTTTCCTCCGAAATGGTCTATCGAAATGGTCTATCCGAAATGGTCTTTCCTCCGAAATGGTTCCTCCGAAATGGTATAACTCCGAAATGGTCTATCGTATGCCAGTAGGCAATCATAGAACTCCGAAATTGTCTATCGTATGCCAGTAGGCAATCATAGAGGCCTGCGTTCGTACTTCTTTTTGGGGCGAACATTTGAAAGTTTGCGACACCAGATGTCGCTTGGTCCACACCTGTCATCACATTTTGGCCACCCAAAATTACGGCGCTGCCTCCTCGAGGCCGGCGCGCATTCTCAGACTACCTACCCGGAAAAGGTCCTTTGGGGCTCCATGCATTGATAGTGCACATATTGCTCAAGAAATGGTGTGCCAGGTTGTCATGTGCTATGACCAGTGGTTGGAAGGAGCAGACAACATTACTGCTGCGATTTTTGGATGTGCGATAATTACTCGCAGAAAAAAAATTGTATTGTTGTTGTAAATGTGAGGGATGTGAGAAATATGGAAGTGCAAGGATTATGCGAGCAAATACGATTCGTTTTTTAAGCTTATTGTGTTTGGTAAAGTCTTTGATCATTGTCAGGCGATCACCTAATGACTATATGATCCCTGTTCTTGCTGCGTGGCTGTCAAAGTGTTCCTATTTGGCCGAGCCAAAGCCCCATTCTTAGCCCCACTCTTGGGGCAGAGGCAGCGGCCAAGTAATAATGTTGCAGTTTGGCGAGTGGGACCTTGATCAGCGGCGTGGGCTACCATATTTCCCATGAGCAAGACATCACTCCACATTTTTTTGAAAGGCGGGTAGGGTAAATTATCACACCTTCATTCTTTCAAGCCTTCAATTACTTTAGCGAATATAAATTTAAATGTGAGCTAGTGAAATTTTGTGCATAATCAGTAAGCTATATAAAAGCATTATTCATTATGAAATGCACTTTATGCCACTGAACTTTTCCAGCTGTATGTATTTATGAGTTGTAATGATCAATGATTCATCTGTGTCATTGCACTGGTGAACAGAAACAGAGTAGGTT